CGCTGCCCCTGCCGCAGCCATGGCCGCCAGGCTCTTCCCCGCCGTTAAGTGAGTCCCTGCGCCCGCGCTTCCATGCCCGGAGAGCTCGGCCCGAGTGCTCGCCCTCCCCCCACGTGCACCGCCCGGCCCGCGCCCCCGCGCGGAGTGTTTCCCCCGACTCTCCCGGGCTTGTTTCCGGGGCCCCGTCCGGCCCTGCCTTGCAGCGCTGCGCCCTTGACCTCGTCTGCCCCCGTGCCAGGCTTGGCCCTTCTTTGTGTGTCTCCAAATCCCTGGCAGGAGTCTGGCGGTTTTCTCGGGGCGGGCATGAATACGTAAACTAAAACCCGCCCGAGGATGCTTGTTTGCTGAGGGAACGCTTTCAGATCGGGATATACAGCCCACTCGAAGGGAGAAGGTGTGGAAGGGCGCTTTTGGGAGCGAGTAGTAAATCTTTAACAGAGAAATCCCCTTTCCCCAAAATACTTGTGAATACATGGATTTAAATACTGATTCTTTCTTGCCTCTCTCAACGGCCATATCTATCATATGTTCTACTACTGCAGTACTGCTATCTGGCAAGTTTTTGTTTAGTTGGTCAGTGGTTTTTTTTTTCCTAGGTGTGCAATAGCTTTGTGGTTTTTTTAAAGGGGAAACAACTCTGCCCTGTGAATTTGAAAAAGTCAGTCTCCTCAGATCTCTTTATCTATAATGAAAAAGTAAATAAAGGTAAAATATTCTCTTCCTGTCTTCCATTTTGCAGGTTGCCACTACAGCTGTAAAACTAGTGTTTGCACACCATGCAGTCTACCGGGAAACTTTAAAAACCTAGGCAAGGCAGGAACAGGCATGGCCAGGTGTTAACTGGACTGTAATGAGCTTAACAAGATATTGGTGTCTGTCAAATTAATCAGATTACTTATTAACAAGGCAGCAAGAACTACATCATTAACATGGACCTTACCCACTGCAAAATCCTTTAGTTCTTTCTATGAAAAGTATATGCCGGTGATTCTCAGACTTTAAAAAGTGGCACATACTTTGAGGTGTTTGATATTTTCTCATTTTTTCTTGAAAACTGTCACTGATAAAATGTGGCTGGCTATGGTTTTAAGGGGCTGACAGGGAATAGTTGGTCTAGGAAGAAAAGGAAGGTAGCTAGATATTTTTCTGCTGCTTTTTGTCTGTAATAAGACATTGCAGTAGAGTATTTGTGACCCTCAGATTTCTTCATCGATACCTTCCCTTTGCCGGTCACAACGTACCGAGAGAGATGCATTGATAGTCATAATGTGAACTGAACTGTTGCTGCTTTTGATTCTTTCAGGTTTGTCATCAAAGGAAGCCTGGCTGGAGCTGCTGTATACATGGCATATGATCAGGGGCTGCTGGGCAGTGGCACACAAGGTGCTGAAGCCCTCAAAAAAGCTCAAGCAGTACTGCCTCCAGCTATCCAAGAGTGGACAAGTTACATAGGCTGGGAGGTAAGGACTGTGCAGATGAACACAGTCAGCAAAACAAACGCATGCTCTTGACTGAGGAAGAGAAAACATTGGGGTGATATTCTGGTTCCAGTGATGCTGGCAGGAGTTTTGCTGTTGAAACTGGATTTCACGTTGAGAATATTTTGAAGAGGATTGAAATGAAAGGAGGATAAAATTTTAAATTCAGGGGAGAGCCATGGAGATGATTTTTCAGGAGCACCCAAATGATAAATACTACCTTCTGCCCCTACTTTATACTGGGGGAAAGAGCAAAGTCCAGACTTTGGGCTTCATGTCTGATCCCTTTTGAGACTTACAGAGAGTAGGCACCTAAGTATCTTTGAGATCTGAGGTCAAGAGGCTTCTCCAAGTTGATGTGAATCCTGTTATAAGTGAAACCCCTCAAGTGCTGATACTTTGTCTCTCTTTCTCTTTCTAGCTCCCACCCACTCCAAAATTTGACTTTTCCCCCTCTGATTCCTGGAATAAAGGTAAAATAACTTCTCACCAAACTGTGAAAGGAGCAAGGGGCCAAGGATGATGTAGCTTATATCAGTCTTGTTTCAATACCCTCCTCCTAAATGGAATGATGGAGGAGGTGATAGATGTTACAGTCTGGTGGAAGGGGCATTGGGACTGGGACTAAGGAAGCATATTCTGCTCCAGGTTTTACCACTAGCACACTGAGTGACTTTGGACTTAATTTCTTTTTGTTCCAACTGTGAAATAAGGAGGAGGATGTGTGCCCATAAACCTGTCTGCCTTTTCTAACCGGAGGAGCTGGTGTTTCTTTTACCTACAAAGCTTGCTGCTTACCTGTGCCCCAAGACAGGCACGCCTATGCTATCCTAGAATCTAAGATTGAATGTTTCAGTGAAGTGTTTGGGGAGGCCTGTGGCCCCCACAATAAACAGGTAGAGTTTATGCACCAGTGAGTTCATCAGCACTGGTAGTGATCAGGGAAACTAGAGCATAAAAATAAACAATGACTTATTCTTAAGAAAGGTGAACCTTTGGTTAAAGATTGAAGAGTTTATAAACTCTTCAGATGCTAATATATCTGAACTCAGTCTCTGACTTTCCAGAAGGTATGAGTATTCCCATTATTATTAGAATTTTAGAGATCTTGTTTGAAGGCCAAAGCATGTTATAAATACCTAGTAAGTTAATTTATAGTTTTTACGGTGCAGCAAAAAGTCTTCATGTAATTGTGAGGAAACACAGTCCACAAATATTGTGACATGTCCAACATCACCCATGGAGTCTGTGGCAAGGCCAGAAATCAAATGGAACTTGTCTCAGTTGTTTTCAGTCTTGTAATTGTCTATCCCTTATACTGGTCCTGAAGTTGGAATTTCTCTGTGTCACAAATGTTACTGAGACAATAAAGCTGTACTTGAACCAAGGATCATTCAGGCCTCAGTGTGTTTGAAAGCTTCTGAGATAGAGCTAGATTTTTCTCTCCATGTTTAAAGAGATCTACAATGCTAGAATAACATTAGGAAACTTGGCTTGAATGATGCTGCGCTTGGGATAATAATTCTCTGCTTTCCTTGCAGGTGTGCAGACAGTCATGTCTGCCTTGTCTGTAGCTCCCACCAGGGCCTGTGAATACACTGTGGAAGGCTGGAAGTATGTGAAGGATCTTGTCAGATGAACATGTTCTCCAGAGTTCACGATTCTCTCCATCCTATGTTGTCTTTGGGATAATGCATAGTCCATCCCTCTAAAGGGCACCTCAGCCATGCAAGGGCTACAATAAAAGACTTTGGAACTTCCATTTGTATTTGGGTTGGTTTTAGCATACAGACTGCAATAATTGCTTTCTGCCTTACCGGTGATCAGAGGCTTCAGCAGAGATCATGGATCAGTTGTAATGAAGTGATGGCCATATGCTGATGTATAGCCCTGTTCTAAAGCTGTCAAGCTTGCTAACTAAACAGATTATTCTGAAGCTGAATTAATCTCGAAGGTGAATGCCATCTACTTCAAAACAAGCCAATGAGTTAAAAAAAAATACTAAAAAAATCCAAGGTAACAGTAAAAGATGTTGTTCAAAGACAAAGCACTTGTCTTCAGGCTAGCTGAGGAAGGAGTGCCTCTGTCAAAGAGCACATTATTGATGTGAAAGCTGCTTCCAGGTGGTCTGTGACTTGTCACACAACTGGGAGTAGCCAGTACTAGTTGCAATACTTGTTGTTGATGACAGTGTGTAATAGAAGGGAGTTTAAAAGTCTGTGATGCAAAACTCCAGCAAGTCATAGGAAACTTTTAACACCCCCCCAGTCTGTTTGGCCTGTGGGCATTGCTAGTGTTTCTAGTACCTGAGCTTGAACAGCAAAATCACAGTACTGTTTTAACTGTAACTTTTCCAGCAACTGATCCAAATATGCCCTTGGGTGCACAGTCAATGACTAGTAGCACTGTCACATTTACACCTGTATCTGAATTCTCAGCTCCACAGCGTAGGTTATTTGGAGGCAAGGGTTTAGATTTTAAATTTTACCAGTTGTTGGCTAAAACTAAGTGGATTCAGTTTGTCTCAACTTGAAAAAGTGTTCTGGCTGCTGGCTTCTTTACGTGCTGGTAAAATAGGGCTGGAAGTACCTTTCAGATGCTGGCACCTCTGTGCGTAAAGCTTTTTGGCAACTGAGCAAGAGAGAAAATGGAAATGGGAAGGATCTCCAAGCACAGCAGAGTCCCCATGGAAGGGAGAATGAGGCTGAGGGATTTCCTACTTCATCTAAACCTAGTGCCCCCATGAAGAATTAGGCAGAGGTACCTCAGGAACAGAGCCCATTGACTGCAACTATGTGCATTATAAGTTCTTTGCAAAGGAACAATGCTATTCTGCAGCTGAGCTATGAACAGATACATGAACATGAGCTGAACTCGGAGCTGACCACTGAGTAACTCCACAATCTGTGTGGACATGTTTTCATTTCCTTATTTTTTTGAATGCCTAGAGACTTCAAGCTGTGTTTTCCTACCAGACTTTCTCCTAGTTTTTGCATGAATGAAAACAGAACTGTAATTTTGTTTGTTTGTTTGTTTTAAACCAGAAACCTTGTTTGCTGATAAGAATCAATACAAAATGGGAGATGGGAAGGGAGGTTCCTGGAAAGCAAGAATATTCTCTTGATATCCATCTCTTCTTCCACAGGAGACAGATAGCTCCTCTGAAGAGGAGGAGGAGGAGGAAAGATTACAGTGCACTTCTCAGTTCCCTGCCAAAATATAAGTAGGTCCAGAAGATGCTGAAAGTAACAACTAGCTGTCAAATCGACACAAGAAATAGGGTAAATTTCACTCTGGCAGGGACCATCATGAACATGTAACTGCGTATCGGGGATGTATGGAGAAAAACCAGAGTTAGCAGCGAGAAAATTGCTGGTGGTAGACCTCTGTAGAAGAGGCAGTCAACGCTTTTTTGGTAGAACAGAAGTGTGCAACGTACAGTTAAATTAAGACCTGGGCAGAAAGTGGATTCCTGGCAACTCATTCCTGCCATGAGTTTTCTGAGGATTTTTTTTTTTTTTTTTCACGTGAGCAAAATGAATGTCCATATCACGATGGGTTAGGTACTAACATTTTGTTCTCATGGTAGAAATACTAGTGGGCACATGCAGGCAGGGATGAGGGTTGCTGCAAAAGCTGAAGAGGTGTTACGTCACAGTGGTGTTTCTAGGGATGGAGAAATGCATCTGCTCTTAGCGCACATTACTTTTTAACCTCTCCAGCTATGTCCAGGACACGAAAAGGCAGGAAACAGAAGAAGCTAATCAGTTATACGCAGTTGTCTCTCACCTTTGCTGCTGTGAAGGGTTCTTGCAAAAAGGAAGACAGTACCAGTTGCTGCCAAAGTGAGGATTGTCATAAGTGCAATCCATCAGCATGTCCAGAGGACAAAAAAAAGACACATTAAAAGCCAATTCTCTGCAGGCTGGACTCCAGAGGGTATCTGGGAGTCGCATAGCTTGGACCTATCACGTCTTGAAGGTACGTGTTCTCCAAATCCCTTTCAAGTGATGCATACTTTGTCATAGACCTTTGGAGCTGCTCTTCTGTACATACCCACTGATGATGGAACATGTCTGGGTGATAGATATCTAATAGGTTTTTTCCTGAATCTAAGTTAAAGTTTAAGCAAGAGGAATTATACCAATAGACAGGTGGTTTGCCAGACTCATACAGTTCAGCAGCAGCACTGTATACAAGTTGTGAATCTCAGCACCTTCACCGTGCTTTAGTCTCTCCTTCCTACTGGCGCTTTTGAAGCTGGTCCAAGGTGGAGAAGCAAAATCCTTCACTGATGCTCACCTTCAAAGTGTCAGTGTCTTCCAGCTCAGTAAGATCTAAAATGGAGTTGCTCACTCTTTCTCTGGGTCCATCTTCATCCACATGCTGGCAGATGTGAAACTTTTCACGGTAGGCCATCTTACCTCTGCAGGAGGAAGCTGGTGTCCACTGGAACTGTGTGGCATTGTAGTAACATGCCAGTAGAGAAATGGATGGGCTGGCACATGTCCATGCATGGCCTAGGATGATTATACAAGCACAGGAAGAGCAATTGAGCAAAGTATATCTGCATGAAACATTTTGCTAGCTTTCAGTATGCTCCAGTTTGTGGACTGTGCATGTTTTAATTTTAATGTTGATGAAAACTTTCCTGAGGTCAGTTTTCAGTCATAGCCAAGGCATATATAAAGAGCACCAATGGCCTAGAGGGCATTAGTATTGTAAGATGGAGTTACAGATTTATTCTGTATTTTTAACCCTTTGTGATGGGATTGTGGCATGATGTTGCAGAAGTCATTATGACATGGCATAGCATCAATATGAATCTGTTCCCTCCTCACAGGAAGCATCTGTGCATGGATTGCTGTAAATACACATCTTGTAACCTCTCTGTCCTCAGGTCTCTGTTTGTCCCAGGGCTGCTGCTCATGCTTCCAAAACTCGGGACAGAGATTGTCCTGGCTGCTGGCAGCAGAGGCGGCATTTTTCCCCCCACTGATGTGCTAACACAGTCGCATTGTTCTAGTCTGTGCTAGTTACAGAACAAGCCAAGACACAGCTACAGGACAGGAAATAAGTAGGGGTAGGTAGGGAGAGTCGGATGAGTCCTTACTCAGAGTAGGAAGCAGATTTAAAACACAAGAAGGAAGAAGGATTTGCGGGGGTTTTGTTTCCCTTTTTAAACAAATAGTTATATGATGAAACTTACTGCCAAGAGATTTCGGAGGATTTGGCTAAGGTATAAATAGCTTTAAAAAGTGCTTAAGTTAATTCCTGGAGGATGGGTCCATCGGTGGCTCTTAAACCTAATGGTCCAGATGGAAGCTACAGCTCAGTAAACCTTGGAGTGCCAGTCACTGGGAGTTTATCACCTGATGAAGGATTGCTCTACATGCATCCTGTTCCAATATATTTTTCTTTACGCACCTGCCTCTAGAAGAGAAAGAGTACTGAGTGGGAAGGACTTGTTCATCTGACCCGGTACATCTGTTCTTCTCTTATTACATCTCAATGACAATGTGTAGATTCATACAATGTGATCCTTTCAAACAATTGCTGGATTTAAGTCAAATGTTTTGCCAAGTCTAGTTTGTGACCTATGGAAATAGTTGTAGGTAAGACAGGGTGCTCATCAGATTGCTGAGCAGACAGACTAAGTGGCAGTGTAGAAATTTACTTGTTAAAATAGTACCTGTGCTGCAGCTCACAGAATCTTTGATCTTGGAAGGGACATCTCAAGATAATTTAATTCAACCTCCATGCTCAAGCAAGGTCAACTAGACCAGGTTGCCCAGGACCACGTCCAGCCAGATTTTGAACATCTCAAAGGATGCAGACTCCACAACCTCTCTGGACGACCTGTACCAATGTTTGACAGCCCTTACAGTTAAGAAGTGTTTTCTTTTGTTCAGCTCACCCAGTATCTTTTCTCTTTCTGAACATGGTGACACTGGATACTGCCAGAGTGGCCTGCTGCCACTACACCAAACGGTTTTGGAATATCGTCCTCACAAGAAGAGTTGGCATTAGCAGATAGGTCTAAAAAGCTCCGCAGTGCCTTTTGTAGTTGTGTACTCTTATTTTTGCATAAATATCCAGTCCTCCTGTTCTGTTTTTAGCTTTTTGCCTCATAGATGTTTTGTAATAATGACTTTCACAGGCTACCTTTTTCTGTCACAAGTTATCAAGCACTCTGGCTGTCTCTAGTGGACCTATCCTACAGAAGGATAAAAAGTTTACATCTGCCAGCATTGTGGCACTGAGCAGGATTTATGGGATGCTCCCATCCCACCTCCAATGTGTAAGTGGGAGCTTACTGGTACCTTTTCCAGCCCTTAATATCTCTGGCTACACAGAGGGAACGTGGTGGGTGGAAAAAACAAACAGAGGAGGAAGAGAAGAAAAAAAAGCACAAGCAGCTTTTACTAACCCCATTTAAGCAGATTTGTTTCCCCATGCTGCAGAAAGGATAGTTGTCTTTAGGAGCTGGTGCAGAGTGTTTCTTCAACTTGATCAGTTAGTGTTCTCAAAGGCCCAGTCTATCTTCTCTTGGCAGAGCTCCCCCTAAGGTTTGAAAACAGCCCTGCCTGCAGCACAGGTGCTAACTGGAACTATTTTCAACGCAAATTAATTAGATATTACACAACAGTTACAGTGATTAGTATCCAAGAAGTTAGGGGGTTCTTTTTGAATGAATGTTGCTGGGAGGGTTCCAGGGAATGGTTTTTGAGAAGAAGCAACTGAACAAGGCATTTCATCTG